ACGCTTCGTTGGTGGCTGTTGGTGGCGGGATATTGGCGGAACTCGCCGGAGGTGGCCGGATCTGGGAGGAGTAGACAGGCGGTGGCCTAGATCTAGCCATGGGTGGCCGGAATTTGAAGGCTCTGGTGGTGGTGGGTGACTATAATAGGTTGTCTGGTGTTGGATATGGAGTGAGATATATATATATATATATATATATATATATATATATATATATATATATATATATATATATATATATATATATATATATATATATATATATATATATATATATAAAAGAAAAAGTGGGTGTGGGGAATAATAAATATAATAGTTTATATATAAAAATAAAATAATAAAGGGGAAGAGAGTGTGAAAAACAGAAAATATATATAGAAAATATAAATTTAAAATATTAATATTAATAAAATAATTAAAATTTTCAAAAAATAAAAAAAACTCGGGTCAAACCCGGTTGAACCGGTCCAATCGTGACCTAAATGCCAATCCGATTTTGTGTCCGGTTCAATTCTGATAACATTGGTAAAGAAAGATAGAATGATACATTTTCCTCATATTATTTTAGGGAAACCCATTTCCTTTGGTAAAAAAATTACAAAAGATTTTATTTTTTTCCAAAAATAAGCTATTCTGGAGCTTTTAAGATGTTTTTTAAAAAATACCTCCACTTTATTCTTTAAGATTCTATTTGCTTCTTTACTAAAACACTCAAAATACAAAATTACACTCAAATACTTTATTATATGGGATAATTTTACAAAACCCCCCTCATCAGACCCCTCCATCTACGAGGAGTCCAAAAAAACTTTCCAATTTTAGAGGGTGTTTGGCTAAGCTTATTTTAAACAGTTGATAAGCTCTTACGTCAGATAAGATGTTTTTAGAGCTCATAAGCTGTTACATCTTATTTTTAGGATTAATTTTTAGAGTGTTTGGATAATGAGTTTATTTCCTATTTTTACTCATTATAAGATCTTAAATAAAAAGGTGGGGTAGATGTACTTATTTAAAAAGATCTTATTTGGTCTCCAACAGCTTATTTAAAAAAGAATTAAGATCTTTTTAAAAAAATATACCAAACACTTTGAAAAAGCTTATAAGCTCTAAAACATCTTATAAGCTCATTTTAACATTAAGCTTAGCCAAACACCCTCTTAAGCTAAATCCAAAATATTCTTAATTAGTAAGAATTAATATAGTTTCACAATTATACCCTTTCTTATAAGTCTCACCCCAAACCCTAAATCTTATACTCCTATCTTCTCTCTCCCTTCTCAATTTTTGATGTTTTGATTTCTCCAGCGTCTGCTACAAATTCTCTTCTCCATCTTCTTCACCAACAACACACTCTCTTCCCCAACCTCACATTGTCTCTCCACTTCTCCCTCCGCCAGACCACCATTCGCTCACTAGGGTTTCGCACAGCGGCGCAAGAGAAGCGCAACTAGGGCGCGATGAATTTCGGGTTTTCGTTCCCGGGTAGTTCAAATCCGGCGTTTCCGCCATGGAAAACTACTATTCAGCCAGCGTCAACATCACTTCATCTCTCAACGGCCATAGATGTTTAAACCCACAACTTTCTCGTCAGATAAACATCAAAACAAGATAAGAACTTTTTCTCAATTTCTCGATTGGATTATTTATTATTAAACAAATTACATAAAAAATATTAGTCCTACATATGCATAAAAGAGGTGGGGCTGGAAGAGGAAAACATGTTGCTAATGGAGACGAGATTGATCCATGTTATTGAAATTCGACGACAACTGTTGGCCAGAGCCGAATTTGGCAATTACTGGATTAGATGGGTGCGATTAATAGTGGCAGCTTACGTTTCAAATAGTGAATTTATGAATAGTGAATTTACGATTTTTTTTCGTTTGTAATTCTTTGAGTTGTGTTAGTAGTGGATTACGTATATTTTTAGTGGATTTCGATAAGTTTGTTGTGGATTATGTTAATATTAAAGTGAATTACGTTAATTTTTCAATGAATTTTACAGTAATTTCACAGTGTTTTTCGGTAGATTCGTAGTAGATTCAGATGAGTATATAGTGGATTTTAATTTTCGTAACCCTGGTGGAAAAAAAATTGAAAAAAAAATGAAAACAAAGTGGTTTTCATGTTTATATAACTGAATATACATAGTGGTTTTCATGGTTATATAGTAGTTTATACATAGTGGTTTTCGTATTTATATAGTTGTATATATAGTGGCTTTTATGTTCATATAGCTCTTTATAAATAGTGGTTTTCATGTTTATATAGTTGTTTATATAGAGTGGTTTTCACGTGTCATCAATTTTCTCCTTCATGGAATAATTTGGGATGGCGAAGCACATGCAGAATAAATGAAGAACAATCATGTAAATTACTTGTAAT